TGTGTGTGTATGTGTGTGTGTGTGTGTGCGTGAGTGTAGTTCTTTATAAATAATATCCATAATCATGTTGCTATTTATCATCATCATCATCACCATCATCATCAAGTGCCAGATCTGCGAATGACATCAGCGATCATTGTTTTTCATTCATCCCTTTTGCTCGGAAGCTCTCAAAACAGCTTCATTATCCTGATCTCTCCCAGTCACCTATCTGTTTAGGCTCTCAAAGTAGGTTGCTCTGGGTCTACCCTGCCTCTTCTACCTTCAAACGTGCCCCTGAGACTTAGATTTCAAGGCCTTTATGTTTATTCAAGTCTCCCAGAAACTGCATGTGTCTTTTCTTGATCGTTTTTATCAGCGAGAAGCCCACATGGTAGTCTTTAAGTACTGCCTCATTTGATTTCTTTTCCTTCCCAGAAACTGTCAGCAGTTTTTTAAGAAACGATATTTCTGTTGTTTTAATTCAACGTTATATTCACTGCCATTAGCGGTTGTCCAGCATTCACAGCAGTATAGAAGGGTTGTCCACACATAGCCTTTCAGAAATTTCATGTTGGTTGTCCTCAAAATGTTTCTATTTGTCAGGACTGGGCTCATTGAAGCGAGACAGACTTTATCCATTGAATTCTTCGTTTTATTTCTGTGGAACATTTGGCATCACAAAAATGTAAAAGTAAATATACAGATGAAATACATATCTTTATTTCAGTCAATGTGATAAACAAAAAATGACATGTGGAGCAGAACATAAGCTGGGGATTTTACGTTTATTATAGTTGGCCCAATGTATTTGGTTTGCCCAATCAATGTATTTTGTTGGCACAATCAATGCGTTTGGTTAGCCCCATTTGTTTTGCTGGCCTCGCATAATCAGCTACCGGCCCCTTGTGAGTTCTGGATGACCCAAGAAGGTAGTGGATGGTCCAGATCTGTTCAGTTGTCCGCTATGGTTTCCTCGATCCAGGAGGCGTGAGAGCTAACGCGGGTGTATATGCCTGGGTATTCTGGTCTACCACAGCCGTACCCCGTGGAGGCCAGACCCACCACCACGTCCCGCAGCCGGCCGTCATTTATACATCGACACAGCAGCGGGCTGCCGAAGTCTCCCTGAGGGGTAAGTATAGGAAGAGGCAAAGTAAAGGAATTAGCTACATTGTCTCTTTGTTTTAGGTAAAGTTTTAAGGCACTTACAACACAATTATGCCATGTGCGTGAAGAAGATCAGAAGCGTTAAAAGAGAGTTTAAAAAAACACACATAATGAATGAGAGATAAGACGGAAAGAAGGAGCAAACCACACCAGAGCACTTGCGAAACACCTGCCACTGTATTTTTGTGGTCTCACAGTTTTACTTAGAAAAGCACATGAGAATGGATCACCGCGCTTGAGTTTTTATATATTGTGTACAGGAACTCAATAACCAGTCATTAAATGTAGAAATAAGAGACTAAGACAAAAAACAACAACAACAACAACTACAAAACAACAACAACAACAACAACAACAACAACAGCAGCAGCAGCAACAACAACAACAATAACAACAACAACAACAACGACAACAACTACGACGACAACAACAACAACGACAACGACAACAACAACAACGACGACAACAACAACGACAACAACAACGACTTACGTCAATCCGGCCCCCTTTCAACAACAACAACGACAACGACAACAACAACAGCAACAACAACAACGACAACAACAACAACTCACGTCACAAGCGTCATGGCCGCCCCTAAAGCGCCCGGCACAGATCATAGTGTCGTCAATGTTCAGCAGCCCCATCTCCGCCATCACGGGCTCATAGGCCTCCTGACAGTCCTCCACTGACTTCACGTTCACCTCCGTCTCCACGGGGAACTCGGACGTGTCCGAGTGTTCTGACGAAGAAAAATGGGCCGTGACGCGGTGAAATCAGGCGCTAGTCAATTTTTGGTATAATTTTCTCATGCTTGTTCATTTGATTCAAGTAAGTCTTTTTTATAGACACCACAGATTAAGAATCCGCTAGAGCAAAAAAAAAAAAAAGATGTTATTGGCTTAGATCTAGATCTAGTACGTTTTAACAGCTGGACGACGTTATAGAGGTCACATTATTCCGAGGGTCTGCTTTAACAGCCAGGCAATTTCACATGGACATGCGTGTTCTACCAACCTTCGCTCCTCGCACCCCAACCGATGATTCTGCAGGTCTGGCCCTCGGATGGACAGTCGGAAGTGGTCTGGTACGTGCCGGTGTTTACTCTTGGCGAAGAGAGGTCAGCGGGTTCCGTCAGCTTGATCAGGGCTATGTCTCCATACGTGGTGTCATCTGGGGAGACCACAAACACATACAGTCGAACTTACTCTAACAGCCACCTGTACAAGACAAACGTCCAGTACAAACGAGCACTTCCAACCCCCTCCCCCCCCCACCCTTTCTTTTTCTTACATTACAATTACACTGTTTAAAACGACCACCTGTCACAGTCGACCACTTTTCTCTTTGACAATAGATGACCGTCTTAGACAGTTTTGAACGCAGTTTGCAGAAAGAAGTCTATATTTAGGAGTGCTGTTGGCGTCAATTCACCCTTGCTATATAAGCATTGCGGCGTCCCGCTTGTGGGTTCTTCCTTTCTTTCATTCTGTTGTTTCTATCTATTTTGCTTTTGCCCTTCATCAAAACACTGTTCGCGTGTCCATGTAATTCGGTATCTACAAACTAAAATACCCTTTGGTACAGGCTTCGCTGGACATTTTTTAAACACTAGCTTTACCTGGAGATTTCTTTATATATGTTTTTTT